GTGCGTCTTCCCCACTTCTGTAGTGTTTGGATTTGGGTCCCTCCCTTTCTGTCGTTCCAACTGTCTTTAAAACGTACAGACCTAAGCAGTCCATTCGTGACAGGGTAGTAGTCGTTGTAACAAAAACGCCATAGGCTTGTGTGGCGCATCTATGTATGTTCAAAACACTGAGGTTTGTCTTTCCCATTTTAATGATGAAGGATTTAGTGGATTCAGGGTTGAAAAGGCCCGTAGGTGACCTTTTCATACTACACTTGAGAAAAATTAACCTAACAAGTTAAATGCAAGTATTGTAACTTGTAGCCCGTGATTCATCAGTCCCAGGCTCTCTAATTGCCATTCTGCACAGGAAACAATGTGATACCTGGTCAAAGAAACCTATCTCATTTAGAGGAATAGAGTTTAAAATTAATGAACTGTGTTGATCTAACGCCCATTTGCAAGTGATCAGTTAAGCCGGTTTGTCTTAACGCTCCTTTACTTTTTTTTTTTTTTTTTCCCAGAAGATGGGCATGCCTTAGGTATCCAGCTTGCTATCCATCTTTTAAATAGGAATTTAAAAGATTAGTGTGTTAAGATTAGGAGGTAGTGCGTATTATTAGATGTTCAGTCCAAATAATATATGACTTTTATTTTTAGATTGTGGAACAGCACCACTTGCAGATGCATTGAAAGGGTCTCGGATTATAGGGGGCACAGAAGCTCAAATTGGTGCATGGCCATGGCTAGTTAGCCTGCAGATCCAATCAGGCAAAATTCTTGCTCACATGTGTGGGGGAAGCTTAGTGAAAAGTAAGTGGGTCCTCACAGCTGCCCACTGCACTAAGGACACTAGGTATGTATTCAAAACACAATTCCTATTTTTTTCTCTGAGGGAGTATTTTATTTTATTTATTTATTTTAAATGTTTTTATTTATTTTTTTGAGACAGAGAGAGACAGAGCATGAGCAGGGGAGGGGCAGAGAGAGAGGGAGACACAGAATACGAAGCAGGCTCCAGGCTCTGAGCTGTCAGCACAGAGCCCGACGCGGGGCTCGAACTCACAGAGTGTGAGATCATGACCTGAGCTGAAGGCGGACGCTCAGCCGACTGAGCCACCCAGGCGCCCCTCTGAGGGAGTATTTTAAAGTAGTAGAGGACCATTTTATTTCAGTCATGTTCAGTTAAGCTGTGTGTTTACAAATAGCCATAATGCTTTACATGTAGCACACTATTTATTGACGTGAATCCTATAAATCAGAAGTCAACACACTTTCTGCAAAGATAGCAAAAGTTTTAAGGACTCTGTCACAACTACTCAACTCTGTCGCTGTAGAACCAAAGTAGCCATAGACAGTACAACTGAATAAGTGTGCTGTGATCCAATAAATTACTTATGAACACTAAAATTTGACAAAATACTATTGGGGGAGAGTCCCAACCATCTAAAAGTATAAAAAACATTCTTTGTTCGTGGGCTATACAAAAATAGGAGACAGGTAGATTTGGACTATGGGTTGGAGCAATGGGTTTGGAGCAACGTCGGACATTGCTTTAAATACTGACGATTTTCTTTTAGCTTTTACAATTATGTTGCAACCATGTGTTTGTCTTTCTCATGATTGGATCATGAGTTTTTTAAGAACAAGAGCTACATGTTTTATTTTGTATTCCTTGGACTAATATAGGACTTGGCCTACTTTATAGAAGACCTAATAAATGTTTATTGACTCTATGGGTGATGTTAGTCTTAGAGAAATAGGATTTACCACAGTTAGAATAGAACTTCATGACCCTTATAACCATTTCATACGAAGCTCTAAGAAAAATATTTTGGGAAATGATGGTACCTGTCATATAACATCCCTTTAGCTGTTTGGTTTTTTTAAAAGTTGTTTTTCATGTTTATTTTATTTTTGAGAGAGACAGACTGTGATTGGAGGAGGGGCAGAGAGAGGAGACACAGAATCTGAAGCAGGCTCCAGGCTCTGAGAGCTGTCAGCACAGAGCCCAGTGTGGGGCTTGAACTCACGAGCAGTGAGATCGTGACCTGAGCCAAAGTCGGCGCTTAACTGACTGAGCCACCCAGGTGCCCCTTTAATTTTTCATTTATAACAGAACAGATCTCTTGGAGAAGAATGAAAAGTCTTTAAAAGGGACTAACAAGGGGCGCCTGGGTGGCTTCGTTGGTTAAGCGTCCGACTTCAGCTCAGGTCATGATCTCACGGTCCGTGAGTTCGAGCCCTGCGTCGGGCTCTGTGCTGACAGCTCAGAGCCTGGAGCCTGTTTCAGATTCTGTGTCTCCCTCTCTCTCTGCCCCTCCCCTGTTCATTCTCTGTCTGTCTCTGTCTCAAAAATAAATAAATGTTAAAAAAAATTAAAAAAGAAAAAAAGGGACTAACAAGTTCAAAATTCAGTTGAGGGCAACTGGCCTGATGGGGTACATAAGGTTTTAGTCTGTGTACTACATTTTTTGTAAGTAAGCTCTATGCCCAACGTGGGGCTTGAACTCATGACCCTGAGACCAACTGAGCCAGCCAAGCGCCCCGGTATACTAAATTTTTGAAACATGCATTTCAGTTCCATAAATTGGCTTTTTGAGGAACAGAGGTAGAAAGATAGTAAGATACTAAGGTATACACCAAACGTGGAGATCTAGAAAAAAAGTTTCAGAGTTAGGAATCAATTCTGTTCTTTCAAGGGTGAGTGCTTTACAATTGTTTTCTAACATGCTATCTTTAAAAACTGCTTTTCCACAGCATTCAGACCTCAAATCAAGGGAGGAAAACCCTGGTTGATATGGTTTGAAGATTCTTGGAAAAGCTTTTCTTGCCTACCAAGTCCTGACATCGTGCTTTTTACTGGTCTAGTCCTTTGACACAGTAAGAAGAAAAATGAGTTTAGATTGAGGAGACCTGTATCCTACTTTTCCACTGACACTCTGGTGCTGAGCTTTAAGGAAGTTTCCAAAACCTACCAGATGTATGACCTTGGTCAAATAATATAGCTTTGTTACATTGTCATCGAATCTTAGGCTTCAAAGAGGCATTTTCAAGGTCTGGTTCAATCCTGTGTCCTGTATTTGAATCCTTCTTACAATATTGAAGTAAGAGGCTGTCGAGTCTGAAATAATGATCGCTTCAATGTGCTGAGCCAGGAACGTTTTCGTACTTGATTTTACTAACGTTTGCAACCATTCTTTGCTGTAGGGAGACCCTGAGACTTAAGCATTAAGTACCTCGCTCATGGCTAGAGAGCCACAAAATCAGGGATCAAATCCAGGTTTGTCAGAATGAAAACTCACACATGTAACCGTAACTACAGCATACGGCTCTCTACTTGAAACATTTCTTACGATGATGCACTGGTACCTTAGGAGGAATCTCACTTCTTTTCTGGACAGCTCTAATTCTTAGAGAGCTTTTCTTATGTTAAAGTAAGTGCCTTGATTTTTTTATCTGCTTTCTGACGCCAGATATATTGAATTCAGTTCTTCGAGGATAATGTTCATATTCCACTTAACGTTTCTCAAGGCTAAATCTCATTGATGTTTTTTTTACTTCCGCACTCGACATTTACTGGATATATGGTATCTGCTAGGGGCTGGGCTGGGTGCTGAGGAAGTAGACATTACTGGGGCATAGTCTCTACTTTTCAGAAGCACCTTCTCTGTCAGAGGACTAACTTTGCCACCTTTTATTCCGGTTCCTCCTCACTTATCTTGCACCGTCAGCGATCCCTTATTCCTTCTTATAACGACCATTTATCAAAGACTTGCTCTGAGATTAAGTACTAAGGCTGTTAAATATAATTCTGTGTTAAAAAAAAAAAAAAAAAAGCCCTCCCACTAACCCTCTGAGGTAGATAGCTATTATTCTCTCTGTTTTACGCCTGAAGAATCCAGAGAGCAGGGCGATTTGGTAACTTGCCCAAGATCACACTGCTGTTAAATAGCAGCCCCCTGATTTCAAGCCAGTTCTCAAATCTGTGCTGTTTCATTATACTTCAGTGTTGCTTTAGTATTTTTCAACCTCTCTCTGGTTTCTTCCCTGGAATCGTTACATGTGTTTAGATCACTCCGCCATTATTTAAAAACCCAAGCAACCTACCGATTAACCCTACCTGTTTCTGTTCTTCCCTTCACTGTTAAACACTCTGAGAGACCCCCTTTTGCTTCTTCTGCATTGACTCATAAGATCCCAATTGCAGTCTGATATCTGGGGCCAAATCACACTGTTAAAGATCCCCCTCCGTGCCAAATCCAATGACTGCTTGTTAGTCCCCATCTTATTTGATCTTTTTTTTTAAGTTTCTTTCTTTATTTTTGAGAGAGAGAGAGTGTGTGTGTGCAAGCGGGGGAGAGGCATAGAGAGGGAGGGAATCCCAAGCAGGCTCTGCACTGTCAGCACAGAGCCTGACGCAGGGCTCAAATTCACGAACCGTGAGATCATGACCTGAGCCGAAACCATGAGTTGGATGCCTAACCGCCTGAGCCCCGCAGGGGTGCCTCCTATTTGATCTTTATAGCATGTGGCGAAGTTGACCGCTGCTCTCCTCCAAACGATCTATTTCCTTGATTTCTTTTTTTTCTTTCTTTTTTTTTTTCTTGATTTCTAAGTCACCGTCTCTTTTTTCTTTTCTCCTTTTCCTTGATGAGTCTGTCATTGTCTAAATGGCAGTATTTCTAGAGTTCCCCTTCTTATCCTTTTGCCTTATCCTCTGTACTCTTCGCTGGAGATGTCCGTCTACTTCTGTTTCAGTAGTCACCATGTCCTGGAAACACCCAAGTCTCTCCAGGGGAGTCATATTTCCGGTTCTCTACTACACATTTATACTGGAGTTGCCGTCTCAGCAAGTCCGAAAATGAATTTTAAAAAAATCTTTCCTCTACAACCCTGTTCCTTCTCGATTCTTTCACAGAACACCATCACTAATGGCTCCATTACCTAGAATTAGCTCTCTCTGCACAGTAGCTCTTAAATTTGTTTCTCGTCTTCCAGTACCCCACACTGATTAGAAATCGATTCAGAACATCAGTCTCCATGTGCCTAGGTCATCGCTTACACAACTTAACACTTACACTACTACTATGGTAACTATCCTAATGCATGTGAAGTGTATCTCACGGTGGCTTTTGTGTTTTGTCTTTGTTTCTGTTTTTGTCTTTGTATTTTTCTGAGAGAGAGCGTGCAAGAGTGGGAGTGGGGGGCAGGGGTAACGGGAGGGGGGGGCAGAGGAAGAGAGAATCCCAAGCAGGCTCCATACCCCACGTGGAGCCCAATTTGGGGCTCAATCTCACACCCTGAGATCATGACCTGAGCTGAAATGAAGAGTCGTTTCAGCATTCGGTGCTTAACCGACTGAGCCACCCAGGCGCCCCTCACTGTGATTTGGATTTACATTTCCCTAATAACTAGTGATGTTGAGCACCTTTCAATGTGCTTATTGGCCATGTGTATATCTTCCCTGAAGAAACATGTATTCAATCCTTTGCCCATTTTTAATTAGTATTTTTGCTGAGCTGTAGGAATGTTTTTTTATATTCTTGATATCAGTCCCTTATCAAATACAGGATTTGCAAATATTTTCTCTCATTCTGTGGTTTGTCTTTTCACTCTCTTCATAATGATCTTTGATGCACAAAAGTTTTTAATCTTAAAGACGTCCTATTTATTTATTTATTTATTGTTACCTGTGTTTTTGGTGTCATATCCAAGAAATCATTGCCAAATCCAATACTGTGAAAGTTTCCTCCTGTGTCTTCTTCTAGGAGTTTTTTTGTTTTACTTTTATAGTTAGGCCTTCATCTGTTTTGGTTTAATTTTTGCATGTGGTGTAAGGTAAGTGCCCAGTTCATTCTTTTGCATGTACATACACAACTTTGCCAGCAAAATTTGTTGAAAAGGGCTGTCCTGTCCCAGTGAATTGTCTTGACACTTCTGTTGAAAATCAGTTGAGCCCATACGCAAGGGTGTATTTCTGGGCTTTCGATTCTTTTCAGCTGGTGTGTGTGTGTGCCTGCCAGTATGATACTGTTTTGACTATTGTAGCTTTGCAGTAGGTTTCAAGTCTGGAAATGGGAGTCCTCCAACTAGAGTCTTCTTTTTCAAGATTATTTTGGCTACTTGGGGTCCCTTGACATTCTGTGTGAATTTAGGATGGGCTTTTCTATTTCTTCAAAAACAAATCATTGGGATTTTTATACAGATTGCATTGAATCTATAGATTGCTTTGGGTAATTACTGGCATCTTAACAATATTAAGTTTTCCAGTCCATGACCACAGAATCTCTTTCCACTTATTCATGTCTTCTTTAATTTCAGCAATGTATACATTTCAGTATACAGCCTGGGTCGTGTGTGTTTTTTTTTGTTTGTTTGTTTTTGTTTTTGTTTTTTTTTTACTATTATTTGAGAATGAAAGAAAGCAGGGGGAAGAAAAGAAAGAGAGGAGGAGGAAGAGAGAGAAAGAGAATGAATCTCAAGCAGACTCCACGCTCAGCACAGAGCCTTATGTGGGGCTTGATCCCATGCTGGGATCATGACCTGAGACAAAATCAAGAGTTGGATACTCAACCAACTGAACCACCTAGGTGCCCCTACAGCCTGTTTTGTAATCTTATGGTCTGAATATAAACTGAAGTAAGGAATATAAGTTGAGTAAGTTTGGAAAAGAAAAGAAAAGACCATTATTTCAAAGTAGCTCAAAGCAGTGATTTCTTTTTACACAAAATAGAACTAGGGCTTTACAATTTTTTGGTAAACTTTCTAGAGGTTACCTAACCCACTTTTAGGATAGCTAAATATCTTCTATTTCCTTGGGAGAAATTCTAGGAAGTAGAATTGCAGAGTAAAATAGGCTATTGATACATGCAAATTTTATAGGCTATTGATACATGCTGGCAAAGTACCCATCTGTTTATACTTCCCACATGAATAAGAGTTGCTTTGTTTTGGTGACTTTTGTTTATCCTGAGCATTACACACACACACACACACACACACACACACACACACACACTCATAAACTTGGCCAGTTTGAAGGATGAAAAGGAATTTCAGCATTTGTAAACAACAGCCTATAAAGTAAAAGGTCCTGGGGCGCCTGGGTGGCGCAGTCGGTTAAGCGTCCGACTTCAGCCAGGTCACGATCTCGCGGTCCGTGAGTTCGAGCCCCGCGTCGGGCTCTGGGCTGATGGCTCAGAGCCTGGAGCCTGTTTCCGATTCTGTGTCTCCCTCTCTCTCTGCCCCTCCCCCGTTCATGCTCTGTCTCTCTCTGTCCCAAAAATAAACATTGAAAAAAAAATTTTTTTTTTAAATAAATAAATAAATAAAATAAAGTAAAAGGTCCTCCTTCCCAGTCCAATTCCAGATGAACAACTATTAAATTCTTAAGGTTTTAATTGTTGATTTTGACCTACAGAAAACATTTTGGTTTTTTACTTGTTCTTTGTTTTTGTTTTGTTAAGATTGTCAAGATCCATAAGTGCATCCTGTTTTGTATATTTAGAATGTTGTGCTTGATCAAGTCCTTTTTCCTATGTATGCTATGTATTCCTATTCCTATTTCCTATGTATGCTATGTATTTCCTATCAATGCTATGTATTCACCTACATTTTCTTCCTAGTTTTTTATAATTCTCATGCTAATTTCATATCCAAAGGTTTCGTTCTAAAATTTCAAAAATTTACAAAAGTAGAAGGAATAGTTCAGTGAATTCCATGTACCTAGCATCCAGCTTCAAGTTATCAACTCTTACCTGATCTTATTTCATTTTTATCCCCACCAACTCCTCCCCCCTTCAGTTATTTGGAAGCAAATCTCAGACAGATCACTTTATGTATCTCTAAAATGAAGATGTTATTTAAAAGATTTCTGCATTAAAAAAGATTTTTGCATTTAAATATTTAATCCATTTGGGGTTTATTTTACTGTTTAATGTTTTTCAGAGATTTAATTTTATCTCACTTTTCAAACTAGTTAGTTTAGCTAGATGTCCCCATACCATCTATCAAGTAAATCATTCTTTTGTCCACTGGTAAGAAGTGATACCTTCACCATATACTAAAGTCTCATGTACTTAAATCTGTCTTAGGACCTCTGTCCCATTGATCTTTTTCTCCTTTCCTATGGCATGATATTTTTGGCTCTTATTTGATGTGACTTCACGTACATGAAAGTAAGATTCAATTTTTCTGATTACCCTGAGAAAAACAAAAACTAGTGGGAGATGAAGAATACTGACTTAATAAACATGTTTATAACAACATTTATTCTCTTTCAGAGATCCTTTAATGTGGAGAGTTGTGATTGGAACTAATAACATACATGGAGGTCCTCCATACTCCAAGAAGATAAAAGTTAAAGCAATCATTATCCATCCAGATTTCAATTTGGAAACTTACGTAAATGATATTGCGCTTTTTCATTTAAAAAAAGCAGTGAGGTATAATGACTATATTCAGCCTATTTGTCTACCTTTTGATGTTTTCCAAATGCTGGACCAAAACACGAAGTGTTTTATAAGTGGCTGGGGAAGAACAAAAGAAGAAGGTAATTATAGTCTGAGTTTTATGTGTATATTTTTTTCCTGATTACTAGAGAGGATGAACCCTTGTATACGTGTATCTCTTTATATCATGAGCTTGAGCAGTTAGTCTTTATAAACCATTGAAAAGGAAATGTTCTTTTTTTTCTTGTATTTTTTTCTTTTTTGTGGGAAAGATGAAACTGTCTTCCAAAGCAGAAATAGAGACTTTCTCTGGTTATACCTGCCAAGACCCTTGAACCTCTAGACATTCTCAGATAGGATGAGAGAGAGGTTTTAAGTGTTTCTTTGTTCCAGCTCTGTAACAGAATGGCTTATCTTTTTATTAAATTTTTTTTATGTTTATTTTTGAAAGACAGCACAAGAAGGGATAGGGCGGAGAGAGAAGGGGACACAGAATCCGAAGCAGGCTCCAGGCTCTGAGCTGTCAGCACAGAGCCCCACGCGGGTCTCGAACTCACACACCGCGAGATCATGACCTGAGCCGAAGTCGGACACTCAACCGACGGAGCCCCCCAGGCGCCCCCAGAATGGCTTATCGTAATAAGCTTCTGGCTATAAGGGATCAAATTTAGGGTCCTTTTTACTTAATGTCCTATTTAGTATCAAGCAGGTTGATTGCCATACATTTTCTTTAGTGCACAAACAGGCACTAATTATTGATTGATTGAACTACTGGGAAGAACAAATAAATGTAGAAACTAGTCTCTGCCTTTGGTGTTAACAATAGCTACTACTTGAGAGCATTTACCGTGTTTTAGGCCCTTTTTCTAAATATATCATTTTCTTTTATCTTCAAAATATTCCTATTAGGAAGTTAATGTTATTATTCCCATGTAACAGACCAGGAATTGTGGATCTTAGAGGCTGAAAAGGTAGGACACAAATTCAGATCTTCCTCATTGTAAAGCCTGAATATATAAGTACTACATGAAGTACAAATTGCCCTCAAAGGAATCCAAATCTAGTTAGCAATACATGATCTCAAGCATTGAGTCTCTTTTCTATTCCCCACAGAAACTAGCCATTTAAATATGTGTAGATTAGGCGTGCCTGGGTGGTTCAGTCGGTTAAGCATCCGACTTCAGCCCAGGTCATGATCTCATAGTTGGTGGGTTCAAGTCCTGCATCGGGCTCTGTGCTGACAGCTCAGGGCCTGGAGCCTGCTTCAGATTCTGTGTCTCCCTCTCTCTCTGCTCCTCCCTGCTTGCACTCTATCTCTCTCAAAAATAAATAAAGATGAAAAAAATTTTTTAAGAAGTAAATAATTAGGTATAGATTAGATAGAATACCAGATAAATGTATGAAAGATCTGTGAATTATTTTTTTTTCCTCTGAGAATACTGTTTAAACAAGATAAAGAGGTATGGGCTTTAGGACCAAAGACCTAAGTCTAAATCTCAGCCCTGCAGTGTACCAGCTGCATGACCATGGGCAAGTTACTGACTCTTGAACAACAATTAGAGCAATGATATAGCAGCAGCGTCCATTTATTCAGGTCTAGGTACTTAATAAAATGCTAAGCACCTTAATGCATTTCTCACTTAATGCCCCCAGTAACACCATGAAAAATACTATGACATGAATAAACTGAGGTTTGAAGATGTTAAGTAAGTTGCCCCAAATTACACAGCTAAGTTAGGAGTAAAAATTCAGTCCCAGGTTGGCCAGCTTCAAAACTCATGTGTTTCCACTATATTATATCATCTGTCACAATGTCATATGTATTCATGATCTGTGAGATGATAGCAATTATACCTATGAGAGGGGCACACGGGTGGCTCAGTTGGTTAAGCGTCCTACTTCGGCTCAGGTCATGATCTGGTGGTTCGGTTCGTGAGTTTGAGCCCTGTATGGGGCTCTGTGCTGATAGCTCAGAGCCTCGAGCCTGTTTTAGATTCTGTGTCTCCCTCTCTCTCTGCCTCTCCCCGGCTCATGTTCTGTCTCTCTCTCGCTCTCAAAAATAAACATTCAAAAAAAATTGAAAAAAAAAAAGAAGTGTTAAGATACCGATTAACATTAGATTGAAGCATGAATGGTCAAATCTCAATAATAGAAATAGAAGATACAATGTGTAAACTAGTAGCAAGAAACAAATGGAATAAGAAAATGAAGACAAAATCTTAATAAATCAAGAAAGAAATAAGAAGCATAGGAAAAGTGAAAAAAGTAGAAAATATAAAATAAGACAGTAGAAAAAAGCCCAAATATATCCATAATCACGATAAGTGTTAATGGAGCAAACCATTAGTTAAAAGACAGATAATCAGATTAGGGAGTAGGAAATCCAGTTTACCTAAAGGGATAAGTAAAACAATAGTAAAGAAATATATCAAGTAAATCCAAATTAAAAGAAAGCTAGTATCACTATGCAAATTGCAGACAAAATAGACTTTAAGACAAAAGAATTATTAGGGATAAAGAAGGTCATTTTTATTTAGAAAAGGTTTAACTCACCAAGACGATAGAGCAATTCTAGACTTCTGAACCTAATAGGACCCAGATAATATTAAGGAGAATTATAGAATTGTAGGATTGTATAGAAAAGTAGAATTGTACAATAAACATTATAACTCCTCTGTGATGGTAGGGAATTTTAATACAACACTATTTTTATTATTAACATATCAAACAGATGAAAACCTAGTAAGTAAAGATTTGGAATATTTGAACAACATAATTAGTAAGCTTGATTTAATAGCCAAATCACTGCCCTCAAAAAGTTAGAGAATTTTATCTTTTCGAGTATAGGTAGAATCTTTATAAAAATTGACCACCTTCCGTGGGTTCAAGCCCTGCATCAGGCTCTGTGCTGACAGCTCAGAGCCTGGAGCCTTCTTTGGATTCTGTGTCTCCCTCTCTCTCTGCCCTTCCTTGCTCGCACTCTGTCTCCCTCTCTCTCAAAAATAAATAAACATTAAAAAAATAATAATAGGGGCGCCTGGGTGGCGCAGTCGGTTAAGCGTCCGACTTCAGCCAGGTCACGATCTCGCGGTCCGTGAGTTCGAGCCCCGCGTCGGGCTCTGGGCTGATGGCTCAGAGCCTGGAGCCTGTTTCCGATTCTGTGTCTCCCTCTCTCTCTGCCCCTCCCCCGTTCATGCTCTGTCTCTCTCTGTCCCAAAAATAAATAAACGTTGAAAAAAAAAATAATAATAAACTGACCACTTACTAGCCCATAAAACAAATCTCGAAGTTCAAAGGGTAAGTACTGTACAAACTATGAACTGTGATTATGAAACAATAAAATGATAAAAGGGATGGGAATTTGGGCTGTGATGGCATGGGGAGGGTGGCAAATCTTCTCCCCCCTCCCCAGATATAAACTGGACAAAATTGCCAAAAGCAACCACTTCAGGGCCTTGAAAATCAACCAAAGTACACAACACATTGAGAAATATTTGTTCATCATAAACAGCTATAAACTGGGTAAAAGAGGAACTTGCAGCTTTCTTGTTTGTGGTTGGTCCAAAGTCCCCTCTCATCAGTCAGTGCAATAGTTTTACTAGGGTCACAAAGAACAGAATCTTGTTACCAGAGGAAGTGAACTCTATCTGGAACAGCAGATGAAAATCCTGGCTAACAGCATTCTCAATAAAAAGTAGAAGACTCAGCAAGAGACAAATGGGGAAAACCCACAGCCTCTGCTAGTCCTGGATGTGGCCAGCAGTAGAACAGTCAGAAATTTGACAGATAAATCCTGAAAATGTGAGAGCTATAGAATAGCTCAATAAGCTTTCCAAATATCCTTGGCTGGTTGGGAAACCATACATGTGTCAGGAAAATCCGAGAGAACTCACAATAAAGAGAAAGTCAAAGTAGATTTGAAAACTGACTGGACTTTGAATACAGTCCCCAACCCAAACACAGATTTATTCATCAGCAGCCCAAATCATTGACTGACCCCTAAACTATACAGATACACATGCAAGCCCTATGAAGCTAGGCTAAAGGTAAAAATCAGAATTAAAACACTGAGCAGAAACATCAACAGTCACGACAGACGAGTCTACAATTTAAGTCCGGGCAAGTTACTTTAAGGATGACAACATTCTTTTTTTTCTTTTTTCTTTTTTTTTTTTTTTTTTTTTTTTTTTTTTTTTATTTTAGAGCATGTGAGCAAGGGAAGGGCAGAGGGGGAGACAGAGAGAGAATCTTAAGCAAGCTCCACACTCAGTGCAGAGCCTGATGTAGGGCTCAATCCCACCATCCTGGGATCATGATCTGAGCTGAAATCATGAGTTGGATACTCAACTGACTGAACCACCCAGGTGCCCCTGACAACAACATTCTTGAGGAAGGAATCAAAATCCAGGGTTGTTACAATGTACTGTCTAAAATGACAAATTTTCTTTCTTTTTTAAAAAAAATTTATTTATTTTTGAGAGAGAGAGAGAGAGAGAGAGAGAATGAGACCATGAAAGCAGGGGAGGGGCAGAGAGAGAGGGAGACAAAATCCAAAGCAGGCTCCAGGCTCTGAGCTGTCAACACAGAGCCCAATGCAGGATTCAAACTCACGAACCATTAGATCATGACCTGAGCTGATGTTGGACTCTTAACCAACTGAGCCACCCAGGCGCCCCTAAAATGCCCAATTTTCAACAAAAATATAAGACATAAAAAACAAACAAAAAACCCAAAAGTGTCACCTATTCTCAGGTGGGGGGAAATGGTCAATAGAACCAGACTCCATATAGGCTCAGGTGTTGAATTTAGCAGATAAAGATTTCAGAGAAGCTCTTTAAAAAATTATTCATTTACTTTAAGAGAAAGAATGCAAACCAGATTGGGGGAGGGGGGGTGGAGAGAGAGAGAGAGAGAGAGAGAATCCTAAGCAGGCTTGGTGCTATCAGCACAGAGTCTAACACAGGGCTCGATCTCACGAACCATAAGATCATGACCTGAGCCAAAATCAAGAGTTGGATACTAAACCGATTGAGCTGCCCAGGCACCCCAAAGAAGCTCGTTAGGTGTGCATAAGTCAAAGGAATTAAAGGAAAATGTGATGACAATAATTTACCAAATAGGGAATATCTGTAGTGAAAGAGTCAATTTTCAAAAGAACTGAATAAAAAGTCTCGAATCAGTGAACTGAAACTGAAACAGCAAAAGAAGTGACCTAATCTGAAGAACACAGAGGAAAAATATTGCAGAAAAATCAATACACACTCAGAGACATGTGGCACAACATCAAGTACACCAACATGTGTGCAATGGGATTTCTGGAAGGGGAAGAGAGAGAAGATGGGGAAGAAAAAATAATTCAAAGAAAATATGGCCCCAAGCTCCTGAAATTTCATGAAAAACATTTACAAAAGCTCAATGAATCCCCAGTTGAGATTAAAAAAAAAGAAAGAGATCCACACCTACATTCACTGTAGTCAACAGAAGAGGTGCAAGGTCTATACATTGAAAACTTCAAGGGGCACCTGGGTGGCTCAGTCAGTTAAGCGACCGACTCTTGATTTCGGCTCAGGTCATGATCTCATGGTTCGTGAGCTCAAGCCCCACATCGGGCTCTCTTGTCAGCGCAGACCCCTACTTCGGAGCCTCTCTGTCCCCCTCTCTCCTTACCCCTCCCCTGCCTGTGCGTGCACATAGTGTTCTCTCGCGCTCTCAAAAATAAACATTACAGGGGCGCCTGGGTGGCTTGGTCGGTTAAGCGTCCGACTTCGGCTCAGGTCATGATCTCACGGCCCGTGAGTTCGAGCCCCGCGTCAGGCTCTGTGCTGACCACTCAGAGCCTGCAGCCTGTTTCAGATTCTGTGTCTCCCTCTGTCTCTGCCCCTCCCCTGTTCATGCTCTGTCTCTCTCTGTCTCAAAAATAAATAAACGTTGAAAAAAAATTTAAAAAAAAAAGCAAAAATAAACATTACAAAAAAGTAAATATTAAAAAAAAAACCTGCAAAACATGACATAAAGAAGACCTAATAAATGAATGTCATACCGATTTGTATTAGAAGATTCATTATTGTTAATATTACAAGTATCTCTAGATTGACCTATATATTCAATGCAATCGCTATCCATATCCCAGCAAACTTCTTCATACAAATTGACAAACTTAGATGAAAAGGCAAAGGACCTACAACAGCCAAAATTATTTTGACAAACAACAAGGCTGAAGGAGTTACTCTGATTTCATATAAAACTATAGCCATCAAGACAGCAGGGCATGGGTTTGTTTTCTGTACTGAGAGCATAGAGATCAATAGAACACAATACAGTCCAAAAAAAAAAAAAAAAAAAAAAAAAAGGCGGGGGGGGGATCCTAACTTACATTTGTGGCCAATTGATTTCTTCATACAAACTTTCTAGAAAAACCCATAGTGGCAGTAATCCTATTAGTCATTTTTTGAATGTGGGTTGGAGGTGGGAATTGACCGTACATGGGCATGGGAGGACTCTTTGGAGTGAAGGAAATAGTCTAAAACTGGGTTGTGGTGCCGGTATAAATTTACCAGAAATCATCGAACTGCAAGCCTACAGTGTGAGAATTTTGTTATGTAAGTTAAACATTCATGAAGCTTTTTAAAAAATGACAAAGATAATTTTTTTAAAAACTCACACATTTAGAAAATTCAAAATACACTACGAAATAACTCCTGTGTCATAACTTTAAATCCTTAGACCTGAACTGTAATGTATATACTGCCCAGAGAAGCTTGAATGTTGCAATTTCAGTGCCACATAAAGGGAAATGTAAGGCTTTAAATACATACACCTTTAGGCTCAAAAATATCAAAGAGTAAATATTTGACCTATTAGAGAAAAAAGGCTAAACACCATGCATTAAATATCCAACTGGAAAAAGTTGAACAGAACATTACATGACCCATAGAAAGAAGAAGAAGAGAAACCGAGATAAGCACAGCAATTCATGAATAGAAAATAAAGTTAGAAAAAAGAGGACCAACAAAGCCCAAATCTAGTTCTTTGAAGAAGAAAAAAAAATAGCAAACCCCGGTGAGACTGATGAGAAAAGGAGAGAAGACACAAATACAAATAAGGTTATGAATTAAAAGATAAAATACTTTAAGCTATGTTAAGTTCTCCATTTTAATACTTAGATAAAATGGATAAATTCCTAGAAAATTCAAAGTAACCCAAACTGACTAAGAATAGTCCTATAAAGAGTAAAGGAGGGGCGCCTGGGTGGCTCAGTCGGTTGACTTGGGCTCAGGTCTGATCTTACAGCTCTTGAGTTTGAGCCCTGCTTTGGGCTCTGTGCTGACAGCTCAGAGCCTAGAGCCTGCTTCGGATTCTGTGTTTCCATCTCTGTCTCTGTCCCTCCCCCGCTTGCACTCTGTCTCTCTCTCTCTCTCTCTTAAAAATAAATAAATGTTAAAAAAAATTTTTTTTTAAACAATAGCAATCCAGACACAGAAGCGAACTTCCTGAACCTGGTTAAGGTTATCTACCTCCAGACTACAGCAAACATCATTATTATAAACGAACATTTCTCTTAGAATCAGGCACGATTTCCCCCACCATCACTACTTTTGTCAATATCATAGTAGAGATTCTAGCAAGTGCACACTAGAAAAAGATGCACAACACCTATGACTTAGGTAATAACAAAACACTCACTATTCACAGATGATGGGACTACCTACGTTAATACAGTCTACAATACATTGGAATTAAGAGAGTCCAGTAAAGTGGCCAGATATAAAACCAAAATGCCAAAATCGATTTCATTTTTATACACTACCAATAGTTAGGGAATGTAGGGGTGCCTGAGTGGCTCAGTCAGTTAACTTCCTGACTTTGGCTCAGGTCATGATCTTGCGGTTCGTGAGTTCGAGCCCCGTGTTGGGCTCTGGGCTGACAGCTCCAAGCCTGACAGAAACAAACCCCAGATCTTTTGATCTGCAGATATTTAAAAAAATTGTTAGGAAATGTAATTTTCAAAGTTAATAAATGTCACACCCACAAGGATGTCTATAATCCAAAGTTAGACGGGAACGAGTGTTGACAAGGATGCGAAGAAATTGGAACCCTCGTGCATTGCTGGTGGGAATATAAAATGGCACAGGTGTTTTGGAGCATAGTTTGGAGTATAGTATAAATTAAAATTTATAGTTCCCGTATAATTCCAAACCTCCACTCCTATGTCTATACCCAAGAGAAATGAAAACACTTGTCCACACAAACACCTGTACTCAAATGCTCACAGCAGCATTATTCATATTAGCACACAAAAAAAATCAATCTAAATATCCATCAACTGATAAATGGATAAACAAAATGTGGTATATTCATACAATGGAATATTACCTAGCCGTTAAAAGGAATGAAGTGTTGGTACATGCTACATTATACCAAGTGAAATAAGCTTGACATAAAAGCTCACATATTGTACGATTCCATTTGTAGGATGAAATGTCCAGAATGGGCAAATCATAGAGACAAAAAGTAACTTAAAGGAATTAAACTATAAACAATCAGATTATTCTTCCACGATCTTCCTAGGCACACATGCATATATGGATACAACTTTACATAATTGTTGAATCACTTTGGAAAGAAAGCCTATTCAACACGAACATTTTATATTGACGTCAAAATGCCTGCTCTCCAAAATAATTTACTGGTATTTTTTTGTTAATAGGTAATGTTACAGATGTGTTACAGGAAGCGGAAGTACATTATATCTCTCGAAAGATCTGTGATTCTGAGCAGAGTTATGGGCAAATAATCCCTAACACCTCATTTTGTGCAGGTGATGAAGATGGAATTTTTGATACTTGCAGGGTAAGACCAAATAATTTTCCTCTGCAATATTTGCTAAAGCTAGAGGGAAACTTGAACAGGCCTTTGATCACTTTCTGCGAAAGTCTTGAATTATCAAATTTAAAGGTACTAAATTCTTTTTTCTCCTTTTAAACTACATTCCAACAATCCAAATCCTATTGCTTTCGTGATTCCTTGGTTTCGTGGTCAACTTCAGGCGAAATTTGTCTTGAATCTTCCTTTTCTTATTACCACCTTTAATATACATATGTGTAATTCACCCATTTAAAGTGTATAACTCAATGGGCTTTTAGTGTATTTACAGAGCGTTGCAACCATCATCTCAATCTAATTTCAGGACACTTTTGTCAACCCAAAAAGAAGCCTCTACCCATTACGAATCACTCCCCATTCTCCGCCCACCTGCCCTCAGGCCTAGGCAGCCAGTAATCCCTACAGATTTGCCTATTCTGGAAATTTCATACGAGTGGAATCATTCAGTATGTTTTGTGATCGGCATCTTTCACTTAACGTAGTGTTTCCAAGGTTCATCCATATTATAGCATGTATTGATACTTTATTCATTTTATTGTCGAATAATATCCCACCATACGGACGTGCTGCATTTTATCCATTCATTAGTCGATGGACACTTGAGCTGTTTCCATTTTTTTTGGCTATTGTGAATAATGTCGCTGTACACGTTTGTGTATACAGTTTTTATGTGTGGGTATGTTTTTTATTTCTTCTGGAAATTCCACCTAGGACTGGAATTGTTGGGTCAATGTTTAATATTTTGAAGAACTGCCAAAGCCTATTCCAGATGGCTGCACTATTTTATATTCCTACCAGCAATATGAAAGCTCCAATCTCTCCACATCCTGCCAGGACTTGTTATTGTTTGTCGTCTTTTTTTTTTTTTTTTAATTTTTTTTTTCCTTAATGAGAGAGAGGGAGACACAGAATCTGAAGCAGGCTCCGGACTCTGAGCTGTCAGCACAGAGCCCAACGCGGGGCTCGAACGCCCGAACCTCGAGATCATGACCTGAGCCCAAGTGGGACGCCCAGCTGACTGAGCCACCCAGGCACCCCTATTGTTTGTCCTCTTGACTGTAGCCACCCTCATGGGTGTGAAGGGGTGTTTTTATTGTGGTTTTCATTTGCATTTTCCTAGTGACTAATGATGTTGAGCATCTTTTCATGTGCTTCTTCGCCAGCCATTTGTACATCTTCTTTGGAGGTGTGTCTATTCAAATAGTTTGCCCATTTTAAAACTGAGTTATTTATCTTTTTATTATTGAGTCATCAGCACTTTTTATAGATTTTAGATACAAGTCTCTCGCCAGATATATGGTTAGCAAATTTTTTCTCCCATTCTGTGGTCTCTCTCTTCATCTCCTTGATGTTACCATTTGTAGCACAGATTTTTATTTTTAGGAAGTCCAGTTTACTTGTTTTTTGGTTTTGTCTCTTGGGCTTTTTGAATCTTTCTTTATTCTACTTCTCAATCTATCAGCACTTCACTCCCAAGCAGAACCCCCATGCTCTACCCTTTTCCTACTCGTTCTGATTTCTGCAATCCAGCGTTTATCTTTCCAGTGTCCTTTTTTCTTAAAACTTTTACTGAGTGGGGTGCCTGGGTGGCGCAGTCGGTTAAGCGTCCGACTTCAGCCAGGTCACGATCTCGCGGTCCGTGAGTTCGAGCCCCGCGTCAGGCTCTGGGCTGATGGCTCAGAGCCTGGAGCCTGTTTCTGATTCTGTGTCTCCCTCTCTCTCTGCCCCTCCCCCGTTCATGCTCTGTCTCTCTCTGTCCCAAAAATAAAAAAAAAAAAAATAAATAAAAAAACGTTGAGAAAAAAAAAAAATTAAAAAAAAAAACAACAAAAACTTTTACTGAGTAAAACAGTAGGGAATCGAAATCTAATGGAATTGCATTCATAAGCAAAACATCCTCATTACTGGGGCACCTGGTGACTCAGTCAGTTAAGCGTCCTGCCTCAGCTCTCAGATCATGATCTTGTGGTTCGTGGGTTCGAGCCCCGCGTCGGGCTCTGTGCTGACAGCTCGGAGCCTGGAGCCTGCTTCGGATTCTGTGTCTCCCTCTCTCTCTCTCTGGCCCTCTCCTGCTCCCGTTCTGTCTTTCTCTTCTTGAAAACAAATAAACATTAAAAAAAAATTTTTAAGCCTCACTATCAAAAAGTAATTGCTCATTCAATGCCTACCTTATAGAGAGACACTGAAAACACCTTAGAAATACATTCCTGAATCTTTAGACCCTGAAACAGTTCTCTCAAGGTTCTAGTTGTTTTGAGTGATTAACAGTCCTTAGTAATAGTGTTTTGGTGCCCTGACAGTCTTGTATAAACTATGACAGACATTCGTTATTGTAACGCTACCGAGAGGCTTAGCCATTTATTCCTGTTACCCCTGCAGCAGCCAACGTTAACACTTGGAAAGATGCCATCTCCTGCAAGATGACAGTTTGTACGTCTCTTCTAGCGAGCAAACCTTGGACACAACTTCAAGAATCCTTTATCCATTTAAAGTTACACTTTTCACACAGAGCATTAAGCAATAAAAAGTATTCTAGTAGTATTTACAGTATTTTGCACACTACTCCCTAAATTATGTCTCTCCTGAGTAATTACACTAAAAACTCCAAACAATTGGATTTATAGTATCCTGGTGCAATAGCATGCAAATAGGAGGTTTATCTACCAGCTTTATGGTTCCTCTAAGTATCAGGCCAGACAGAATGCTTTCTGTCTGAGTTGGAATGCAAAACTGAAAATCTATGGATCTTTATAACTTGAAGATACGTTGAAAATGTATATTGGGGCGCCTGGGTGGCTCAGTTGGTTAAGCATCCGACTTC